CTCTTAACTTGGGTGCATATTCTCACTCCCTCCTGTTCTCTATACAATCAGATTGGTTAGCAAACATTCCAGTGTTCAAAATCTTTCCATCTATTCTCGCAACAAATATTACTGAGCAGTTACAATGCTCCAAGCACTATTCTAGATTCTGAAAAACAAAAGTTCCTGCTATCATAAAGCTTACATTCTAATGAGGAGGAGAGGATGAAAATAAGCATATTTTCACATGAAATAAATATTTTATCATCACCATGCATGTTGTGATATCTGCCTTGAAGAGGAATAGGGAATAAAGACACAGACTAGGAATATGCAAACTTTTTCTGGATAGTGCCAAATAATAAATATTTTAGGCTTTGCAGGCCATCTGATCAGTCTCAACTACTCCACCCTGCTGTTGTAGTGTGAAAACAACCATAGATAATACGTAAATGAGCACTGCTGTGTTCCAATAAACATTACAAAACTAGGCGGTGCGTTTAGCCTCACTGGGCCACAGGCCTACTTTGCCAGCTCTTGGTACAAACACTGAAATCAGGAATGTGCTATTTTTATAAGGCAGCTAAGGATGTGTGGTGAAGTAACATTTAAGCCATAAAGGGAGAGGTCCTCTATGCAGATTGGAAAAGAGCATTCTATGTGGAGGGAACAGTAAACATAAATGCTGGGAGGTGAGAGTATGCCTGGTGATGAAGCAAGGAGACCCACATCTGTGCTGATGAGTGAGCAAAAGGATGAGAGCTTGGAAAACATCTGCTGGTCTTCACGATTCCTGGGTACCATGGTCAGGCATGGCCATCAGGATCTCCTGTGGTCGTATATTTGAATTAATGAATATTTTCTGGTTTTTGCCCAGTGTCCATTCCCTCTCCTGGAAACAACACCCCTATTTCCCTTTGGATAGTGGTCTCCTCCAGCTCATTCTTGGTCATTTCCAACCTTAGCTCTAGGTGAGATACAGCCCAGGCCTTGCTCACCAGCAAACTCCATCACTGTGGTCACAATGACTGGCTCAGGGATGGGCATATGGCCCACGCCAGTCTAGTAAGAGGAAAACTCAGGCCTCTGTTGGATTTATATTCAGAAGGTGAGGACCCCTTCTGCTTTTGAAGACAAAATGCATGGTTGTATAACAGACCTCATAGGTGTTCAGAGAAAGGGAGAAACTGAATTGAGGTTACCTCATTTGAGCCACTGAATCTAGCCTGAAGCCAACTACTGATGGACTTATCTACCACAAGAGGCAACTGGTCTCCCCACCTCCCAAACAAGTGAGTCTTGACTATGAACATGTGCTGCCATTCACCAAGCAAACATTCCCCCTATAGGTTCTGATGTGCCAATGTGTACTCAAGGTCTAGTTCAAAACTTCCCAATTAAGCAGTTAACTAGACTCTCTCTAGCCATTTGCAGCCAGATTCTGTAGTTTTAGTCGCTTTACTTCTAACCTTCTAAGTAGTCTGTTTTCTGCATGTGTGTCTCGTCTCACTGAAGGGATAGAGAGCTTTCTGAGAGAGAGCGAACAGGGACACACATCTTTGTATCTCCATGACGCCAGCTGTAGTGATTTAGGGATTCAGGTATGTATATATATATTTCTAGATATATATATCTATATGATGAACACACACACACATCTATTTAATGAATGACCACCACGAAAAATACACCACTCCTTTCACCATAATTATCAATTGCCAGGTTGCAACAGAAAGTTTCATCAAAAACTAATTCAAAAGGCTAAATGTATTATCTGTTATCTTCCTAGAAAAATTAGCATCAGACCACATGTAAATTTCTATAAATCTTCTGCTACTTTAAATGGCTTTAGAATTAATTAAAAATGTTTTTCAATCGATAATAATGTAACTCAGATAATTAGCATCAAGTAGCATCTACAGGACATATTTAAAAAACTAGAGTATAAATAGACCTAATTAACAATTAGAATAACACTTTATAATTACACTTTGTTTATAAATGCTAGAATGTCCAATTCATTGTTCAATGAAATTGGTCATTAATGAAAATCAGTTATTTTTCCCTGACGTCTCCATGAAGTTGCCTCTTGGATGTGCTGACTTTTATGCTGCCTATTTTCTTGTTTTGTTTTTTTTTTAAAGATGTAGGGTTGTATAAAATTTTAGAATGTGATGGGTTCTCTGAAGCCCAAGTGGACGAACAGAAACCATCACCAACCTGACGGTTAGCATCTATAGAGCGCTTACTGTGTACCACTTACTATGTTATTCACTTTCCATACACTGTGTCGTGTAGTTCTCCCAACCACTGTGCCGGCCAGGCATTATATTTTAAACATATATTTTATTTAATGAGCAAATAATACTTTATTTACTCATTTCAGAGGGAGAGAGAGAGGGAGAGAGAACGAGAGTGCACACAAATGGGGGAGAGAGGCACAGAAAGAGGGAGAAGCAGACACCCTACTGAGCCAGAAGCCCGATGCGGGGCTTGATCCCAGGACCCTGGGATCATGACCTGAGCAGAAGGTGGACACTTAACCCACTGAGCCCTCTAGGTGCACCAACAGCCAAGCATTCTTATACTATGTCACAGCGTAGAAGGACACCTAGAGAGGTGAAGTGACATCCTAAGGCCCTGGCTGATGATGATAGAAGCAAGGCTTATTGGCCAATGTCAACTACACAAACTATAGTCTCAGTCACTCCGCTATGTGCCCTTGCCTGCTCTCTTTTCCTTAGGAAAGACGTGCATGTATGATAGATCAGCAATTATGACCCACCTATACTGATCCCTGCACCCCATATCCCTTGCCAGATAAAAATTTCCAGACAGTTGAATCTTCTTTATGAAGCATGACTTCTAATCCCTTTTCATACTATTCAGGATCCTTTGAGTGTGCACAAGGAAGTCACTGTCCTGAAAACTGAAGAGGTGGGTGTACTTATCCAGAGAAGAACGTAAACAATTGAGTTAAACTACTATATTCTGGAGGCATTATCTTCTTAGGGTTATTCCTTATGATTTTCTACTGCCATTCCTATTCAACTATCAACAGAAATAACTGACTCCTTTCCATATGTTTCTTGTTATATTCATTCATTCTTCCACTCTCCATTTTGTTCCACCCTCTTTGTTTTATACATGGGGAAACTAAGGCTTAGAGAGAAAAACAGACTTGGGTAGGGTCCCTCAGATCCTAAGGGTGTGAGCGAGGATTCACATCCAGCTACGTTAGACTCCACCGTGAAATATGCATCTAGATTCAAACCTCCCAAGAGCTTGCTCAGTCCGATGACTCAAAAAGACAAACTTCTCATTAAGCTGAAAATGAAATTGCCTAAACTTCTCGTTCCACACCATATGGCTGAATCCCAGCTGACAGGAAGCTCATTTCTGCAACACACCAGGCTCATTTCACTGAGTAGGTTGATGCGAGATTTGTGGGGTGGTCATTTCCTAATCTTTGTAGCATTGATAGCAGCAGTGTATTTATTATGATGCTTTCTTTCTACATTTTTACATAAAAAAGCAAATGTTCCTAATGATGGAGACAGATTTTTGTCCTAAATTGTTCTCTAAGTAAAATATCACAAGCAGACGCCATGACAACAACAAAAATATCCACTGCCTTCAAGCAACCAAAAACTACAATAACCTTCTAGTCCTTCGTCTACTCAACAGTGGGGTGGTGGGGGGAAGAGTTCTTAAATGATACCATCCTGGAGTTTTGTACACAAAGATTAAGCTGAAGTATTTGGACATCTGAAATGATCTTGAATCCTTCCAAAGATTCAGATTTTAAAGAAGTGAGGTGACTCACGAAGTGCCAACGCACTAACAGAAAGTGCCAAACCACATTTGTACAGAATGATCTGAGCATGAGATAACCATCACATTTTCCCCTGGGCAATTATTCTACAGCTGGTATAGCAAAGTATTCTGGAACAAAAGGAGAACCTGAAGTTTTTGTGTTTGTTTCTCCCACTATCCCTTAAAACCTAAAACTAATATAGAAAGTGCCATCTCTACACATAATAGAGAAATAAGTGTTAAGGGTTGGCTAAGGTCTGAGAACCATATTTATGTGCATTTAGGTGCACTTAGGCTGGAGTCCACGGGTAAGGATTTGAACAGTCACTTGACCTTGGACAAGTTTCTCTACCTTGTCAAGTCTTCATTTACTCATCTGAAAATGGGACAAATTTGAGGAGAAAGAAAAGTATTGTGATCTAAAGTGAAACACACCAAATTCAAAACACCTGGCTGATACAATAGGAACCCATTCAGCCCTAGGGACCACTTGAGATGGTAGATGTTCTTGGGTCAACCAAGCAGGAAAGAAAACCGGCTCAGCGAGGTCAGTATGTTACCCAAAGTCATACAGCTAATTGGTGACAGAGCAGGGATAGGTGGCAGATTAGCTCCAGCTCCTGGACTCCTAAACCACCACACTACAGTGTTTCAGTATACAGCCACAGAAGACTACTTTGTTGTGAGCTCCCACTCCTGTGGACTCCCAGGAGTCCATCAGCGGCCCCACAGATACCCCTGCGCATGTTTTCAGAATTAAATTCTTGGGCCCTTCCACCAGAGCCTCTAATTCAGTGAGTCATGGTTGGATCTGTGAACCTAAACTCTTCAGAAGTTCCCTAGACGATTCTTCATTTACAATCAGGTTTAGGAATCTTTGAATCACGTATATAGGTCTTGACTGCTTCTTCCAAGACCACTAGTTTGTGAGGACAGGATGTGCTTTCTTATACTTGTCAGCATGAACACGAATCCCTACCTGAAGCTCAGGGCTAGGAGTTATGCCACAAAAACATGACTTGAGACATTTTCATGGGGCGGGGGAGGGGGACCTAGTTCTGAGGTGAGGGGTAGGGGAGTTCATCGACCTTGCCTTAAGAGAATCCAGGTAATAGACCTAAATCTCTCTTCTAGGCACCGTTCTACTTTTCCTCTAAAATGCATGCATTGGCATCTAACCAATTAAAAGATTAAGGTTTTCTTACCTAAAACTCTTAATCTTTCAGCTCCTACCACCACTTCGTTGTTATCTGCAGAGAAGAGCAATTTTCCAGAAACTGTCTTTACTTCAAACTTTTTGCCATAAGCTTCTACGGCTTTTGGACCTAGAAGCAGGAGTGAGAGAGAGAGGTTAGTCTCATTGCATTCATTTACAAAGAGCTTTTCACAGAACACATACATATGACAAGACTGTATTGGCCTTGGATGTAAGGGGACTGGTTTTCAGAAGCCAACCGTAAAAATCAGTCTTGTGACTCTAGCCATGTCTTGTCAGGTACTTCTAATCATACGCTCTCAGGCTATGATTTTAAAGGCCATCGTGTCCCTTCTTCAGACTAATGTTTGGATGAGATCTCCCTTAGCTAACCACCAAATTCCTGTCAAATACTTGTAGATTTTGGCTTGAGTGTATCCAGGCACAGAAAGCTCAACACTCTTGAAGTAATCAGTGTATCTTTTGCCATCTTTCTCTTTTGGCCCACAGCTCTAACTGTTGGAAAGGTTGCTTTACATTCAGCTGAAGTTTGTCTCACTCTTAATCCAGTGGCTGCACGCGACACTAGACAAGTCTACGTCCTCAGTATATAGATCATTTCCTGGCAGAAAAGGCTATAATATATTGCTATTAATTGCTAGAAAGTTGTCAAATCTTTTATGCTAGAATTTCATTCAATAAATTTTCAGAGGGTTTATCATAGGACAACAGATGCCATTCTTGAAGCCGGGCTATCATGATGGCATCTTCTGATGGAGACAGACACAAATTTAAACTCTAATGAATCAGAAAACTGCAGAGTTTTTGGTACCATGGAAAAAATAAAATGTTAGTATGTTAGAATTCCTTTAAAACAATAAAAACAACAACAAGAGGAGACCTTTTGGTTTCTCTGAGCTAGAGCTACCTAAATACCTCAAGTTCAGGGGCCTCTTCAAAGCTGCTCTGCAAAAATGCATCAGAGAAAGCTGGGGGTGTAATCATCCTCACCGAACCTCACTCAGATCAAAAGGAATTTATCTTTTGGTCTGGAAATTCATAGAGGAAAAAAAAATTTTGAGGTTAGGGTGTAGAAATCTTTCATTTTCCCAAAACTCCACAGGGGATTCTGATGGGGCATTTTTGTCTCTGGTTATTTTTCAAGACAGAGTCATTTAACTATAAAAAGTAGTAGTGAAAGGGCCCTCAGTGCCTTCCAGGCAAAGACCAAGAGGAACACAGGTATAGATGAACAAGTTGAGTTTATTATTCATTGCTGTGATGGAGAACACACACCATGGGCAAGCACACAGGGCATCTCAGTAAGAAAAAAACTTATTAGAATTATTTGGTTTTATGTTAGGTTATTTTGGGACTTGGTTCAAGGAAACAAGGCTTTGCTCTGGATTAGGTGCTATTGGAAAGTGGGAGTAATTTTACAACTGTCATGTTATCTACCTTTTATCTATCTCTTCTCTAGAGGTAGGGAAGACCAGAGCAATGCTAAGCCTGTAATGGATAAAGAAGCAGCAGTCACTGATAGTAACCAGGATTGAGGGATGTTTGGTCACTTTAGTGGTTTGGATAAATATTTCCATTTTTGTCTGCATTCAGATAAGATTAGAATTGTCTTTGTTTTTTGTTTTTTGTTGCTCCCTCATGACCAACCAAATGGCCTTCTCGGGTGCTGATGTTCTGCAAAATTATTTATGTTCAAACACGAGAACACAGAGGTTTGACTTATGATTCCAGGACTACTCCTGGACATCTAGGACTGCTGTTCTTATTGGCAGGACCACCAGACTAAGAATCAGAAGAACTATGCCCCAACTTTCTCATTTTCTAGTAATGTGACTTTGGGAAGATCCTTTGATCTTTCTGAACCTTATTTTCTGCATCTGTAAAAGTGCACTATCACCATCTATCTATTCTATTACATTAGAGAATGATTAAAAGGATCAAATTATTGTTTATAAAAACAACTTTCTAGGTGGGAAAGTGGTATGAAATGTAGGGGACTGCTCTAGTGATTATCATCATTGTGATCATAACTCATCACCGTTTTTCTAATGCAATGGTCCCAACACATTGAAAATACTTAATGACAATCACCTCCCAGTGCCCTTGCCTCATTCACGTAATCAATCATGCCAATTTGGCAGCCCTCATCTCCTGCTAATACATCCCCACAAGCCTTCTGACAAAAGGAAGGACATGGGAAAGGCTCCTGAATGAATGGGAAATTGAAACAGACATGGTAGAGACTTTCCAAATGGCATGGGACCTGGCCATGACTGCCTTTGTGCTGTAGCTGAGGAGAACAAGTGGGAGCAGAGCTAAGGACTCTGTCAAGGTCACTAGGTCAGCTCCTGGAAGATCTGGGTCTGGAACTAAGCTCTAGGAATTGTTCCGAAGAACAGGGATGTGTATTTGTCTAGAGAGAGAAGAGTGTTGGACTCGAAACAGGAGGAGCAACTAGGGGTGGGGCTTTGGGAGGGTGGGTGGGAAGGGGAGGTGGAAAGCTGGAGACAAGGACCAGAGTACAATCCTGAAAGAACAGAGATGGAAAGTGAGGACTTTGGATTAGGTGACTCGGGGAGGGCTCAGATGTGGCTGACTTCTTGATCACACCAAAACTGTAAGTGAAATCTATATGACTTATTAATACATGGGGATTGTTAACTCTGTATTTTTTTAGGGGGGAGATTGGGGATCAGGAAGTGAAGAAGCGTTAATAAATGAATGAATGACCTCGGGATAGGCATACAGAGAGTACAGTTTGCCACTCTGGATCTAGTCAATGGCATAAGGTGGGTATGACTGGGGAACAAAAAATGCTTGGCCTCTGCCTCCATGGACCTAGGCAGTATCATGAGATAAGGCCCCTGAGGTGTCGAGAACACCTGCCTGGGTAAAGCCAGTCTGCTCTGAACTTACAATTGGTTTATAAGACATGCAAAAGAATGTCCTAAAGACACTGAAGCAATCAGAGAACTCAAAACACAATTAAGTTATCTGGCTTTCCAGGGCTCCTCAGAACACAAAAAGGAATCTACCAAGGGCCAGAGCCATTTGCACACATAAAGCTCTGTAGTTGGCAGTTTCAGCCAAAACCCCACAGAGCAACTGCTGGCTCAATGGTGCAGATGGCTTGTCCTTTTGTTGATTTTACCTGGGGCTGCCAAATGCCCTAGACGTGGCTGAAATCTTTAAAAAAAGAAAGAAAGAAAGATAAATTCTGGAGGGAAATGCCAGTGGAGCTGGAGACTGCTGAGGCGGTCCCTCAGTGGACCCACTGTTCCTCTCTGGGATGAAAAAAAACATTACTTGTAACCAGCAACTACTCTCCAGCTAAGCTCCCTCAGTGCATGGTGCTATGTGCAGAGGACTTCCTTAATGCATTTCCTACACCGGGAGGACTGGAACCCATCTGGAACACCAGCAGGCCCCCTGTCATGCCAGGGCCACGAATCTGAGAGCTAGAAGGGGGTCATCCTGCCTAATTCCTCTCCCCGAACTCCCTGGATCCTGATAACCTTCCCTGCTCTGGTGAGATGCCATGAAAGGCTCGCATACATCCCTTCACCATGCAGGCCATAGGGCTTCGTCTATGGACCACTATGGAGAGGACACGAAATCAGCCACAGGGTAGGCCAGATGTGCATTTGTGACCTTGTCTAGCAACTTCACTATCACGGAAAGCCCTCTTCCATGGGAAAAACTGACCCGAGTTGCTAACATTGGGATTTCTACTGGGCCTCTGAGACCTTCCTGAGGTCAGCAGGAATGTTGATCCTCAGGACTGCCTTCATCAACCTGGCTACTTGGACAAGAGCAGTCATTTGTTCTGGGGTAGGCACGCCACCAAGGAGAACAAGCTTTAGCAGGACCTGTCTACCGGCACTACTCTGTGCTTTCCACCACATGCATCAATGCAAAAGGAGAAGCCTGAAGGAAAACTTGAGGGGGTGAGCATGCATGCATCTGTGTACTTAGAATTATATTTTGAACCATCTATTATCCTCTCTAGTGATCATCTGGAAAGGCTCCTGCCAGCTGCTGTTAGAGTGGCTTTTTGCCCATCTCATTTTAATATGAGCTATCTTGGGCCTCCCTGTGAGAGCTCCGAGAGGTGTCTCAGCCGCCAGGAGGGCCTAACTTGGGCGGGGGAGCCAGGAAGAGAGAGGACATGGAAGGACGGGAGAAGAGAAAATAGAAGAGAAAAAGGAGAGACAGAGAGAGAGGGGAGATGTGGGAGACAGAAGGAGGAGGAAAGAGGGTGGGGGGAGAGAAAGAAGAGAGAAGGGTGGGGAGGGAGGGGGAAGAATGGAAAGGGAAAATGGGGAAGGGAGCCAGGAGGAGGGGGTAAGGAATTTGGGGAGAGAAGGGAGTAGGGATGGAGGGGGAGGGGTAGAGACAACGCCGGGAGAGTAGTCATTTGGGCACCGCCAGCTTTACCAAAACACAATCTCTCAAGTGAACCGAATCTCCCATGGCAAATAGACAGCCAATGATCCACGGGCTAAGTAACTTCCTTTTGAACTGAGGAATCAGGGAACGGGAGGTCGGATTTATCTCCCTCCCGGAGGCAATTTTCCCTCACGCTGCTTAAATCACTGCTTACTGAAGCTGTTTATTTAATTATTTAGCACTGTGACTGCGGGCCAGATGCTCTGTAAGCAAGGCGGCCAATCCAGGGGCGCCCGGAACAACATGTTTACGGATTACAGGTTGCGCCGCGAGGTGGTTCCTCTCTCCGCTGGGGATGGTCCCAGTCACCCGCTGGCCGTGAGCCTCCCGACATCAGGGGCCCCGCGCTCCTGCAGGGCGCAGACACCCTTTCCCCGGCAAGCCCCAGGGCACAAGGCACCTGTTTCCCCGCTGCGTGTTTATAAGTGGGGGCGCCAGATGTTTTAGTCACCGGCACGTTTCAGGGTGTCTGGGCAACGGGCTTCTCCGAATGTCCATCTGTACACTTCTCTCTCAGCCCCGAAGCCCAACAAATGGCATTGTCTCCGACAGTGCTACTCAGACGCACACCTCTTTTCCCGACCCCCGCGGGCATGCATAATGGCTCCTGCTTACCGGGGTTCATAACCTACGCTGTGGGCACTGATCATACCACTCAGCGCATTACCGTGACCGTAAGGCCCAGGCTTCTCGTTATCACCGTGACGTGAATAACCAAACCTCGTTTCAATTGTAGGAATATGCGGCTGAAAACCCTGTGGGTGCAGATCTGCTCTAATGAAAGCGACCACACACGCATCATCAATGGAGCTACATCTGCGATTTGCAGTTGAGTCAGGTTCAAAGTTAGGACACAGTGCATACATGGTATGGATTCAAATTACCTTCAAAAATCCCATTTACACCCCATAAAGTCTGTGTGCAGGGTTTTGGGTATATTATGTTCTCTCTGTTAATCCAGCCCAGCCAGCCTATCCTCCAGCATGGGAGCAGAGAGCTTTTCTGCCATTGAGCACCAGCTGAAGCAGCTGTTACATGAAAAATAGCTTACTGCCCCTCTAAATGATCATTGTTGGGTTTGCATAAGTTAAATGTGTACATATGATGAAGTTTTACCCTTTAGCAGAATCATGGCAGACATGCTACCCTCTCCTCCGCGCTGTAAAACATGTTAGCGTGCATTTCCTTCATTAGTTCACGTGCTGTTGCATTCAGTTGTGGGCTCTATGTTTTGTGGTCGCTTAGCGTGGGGCAGGCACTGCCACGTCCTTTAGTTTCTTACCTGTGATGAGCTGAGTTAGCACTTTAGTCTGGTCATTGAGAATGTTCACTGTAACATTTCTGGCTGATTTGAAGTACAGGGCATTACCCTGTAATAAGAAAAGAAGAGAAACACATGAGAATGGCAAATTCTGAAACAAAGCACTGTAACCACAACTCTCCAAGGGACTGAACTGGTTGTCTCTGAGTGCTAATTGATGTGTCTTTATTTGGAAACTCCAAATGTCTTCATGATCCCCACATACATGATAACTGGCATTCATCCAAAATGGATTTCCTCTGAAGAGACCCACAGAGACACACTCAAAATAGATTTCCCTAACACACACACACACACACACACACACACACACACACACACACACAGAGTTGAATAAGAGGCAACCCAGCGACAAAGAGTCCCTTAGATCTTACTATGAGTCCCTTAGATCTTACTATAGATATGAGTTATCTTTGGCACATAGAATGATCAGGAATGACTGGTAATCTCCTAATTTCACACTTTCTAGTTTGTAATTTCTCCAAAGGAACGATGGAGAGTTCTTATAGGAGAGCAGAAAGCAAGTGGAAAATACCTGAGGTCAGCCCCTCTGGCCTCCTCACCTGCTGTGAGAATCCAGGTGCGATCCAAACCAAAAGATTCTCTGGGCTTTCATCCAATGTTTCCTTTGTCAAAGAGAGCACCCCGGTCCACTTGCACATGGTGGCAGACATTTCTGAGAATGACTCAGAACAGGGGCTGGCATACTTTTTCTGCAAAGGGTCTGATAGTAAATATTTTGGGTTTTGTGGGATGTACAGTTTCTGTGGTAACTACTCAACTCCTAACTGCTGCTTTGGTGCCAAACCATCACAGATCGTACACAGACAAATGGCTCTGGCTGCATTCCAGCAAAACTTATTTCATGGACAGTGACATTTGAATTTCAAATAATTTTAAATTTAACATAATCTCACTGTACCCTTGAATGCTGTTCTTCCTCCCCCCCCCCAAATCATTTAAAAATGTAAAAACTCATCTTATTTCACCAGCCAAATGAGAACAGGTAGGGGGGCCGGATTTAGCCCACAGGCCATAGTTTGTCAACCCCTGACTGAGGTGTTCTTCCTTTCCTGAAGTAAACCAAAGCCATAAACTAAAGAATGAAATGCTGCCAGAGCACGTCAGGATCCAGATAGCTGTTATTAGAAGAAAGGAATGTGGGGAGTCATTCTCTTCTTTCTAAACCTTTGTTACCACATGGCATTTATCTGCCCGAAAATTCTATAATATCACTGAGTCCCGAGCTAGATAAACCATGGTCCTAAGAGCGGTGCGGAAAGTGATGATGAGTAAGACTCCCTTTTATTTTTAAAATCTTAGGATCTAATGGGATCAGTAAGATGGACACACGAATAATACTAGGCAGAGACCGCTCCCAGGTGATTAAGCAGCTGCAAACAAAGTATGTGTGGAACTTTCCTGAAGGGTAAGATTATTCATAGCTTGAGGCTGTGGCATGGGAAGCAAAGGAGAAGTTTGTGACTGGTTCAGCTGAGCCGTAAAGAGAGTATAGATAGGTTTCACCATGATGAAATGAAAAAAGGAGATCATGGAGGTAGGGAGCTTGTGGGATGAGTGTCTCATGTCTTTTTCCTTCTAAAGCTGTCGTAGGAGGGGATTCGTGAGCTCAGCCTAGCAGCTGCACGTGGCAGAGTGGCTGGCCAGTGGGGACAAGGCGGCCACCATGATGGCTTTTCTAGAGTCCGGTCTCCCTCACCCAAGCCCCTATGGAGGACTCCAATGCATCGGGGGTTCCCTAATGAAACAGAAGCCAACATCTCCCTCCCTGACCCTAGGACAACAGCTCTGGCCCAAGGTGAACTTCTAAAACGGAAAACCTATACCCATGATCCACCCAGGCCCTGCAGAACCAGATCCCCTCAGGCCAGTGCTGTTGTCCCAGTGTCAGGGAGAGAGACAGTGCCTTCTGTCTCATCAGGACAACTGCAGATTCACTAGAATGTCCCACAATGGCTTCAAGCTAACATTCTGCCTGACAGTAAACTTTCTGCTTTGTTTTCTAATTAGCTAGGAGAAGAAGAAATTTACTATTGTCATAGGCTTCTATCTTCTGTCCATCACCTAACAAATATTAGCCTAAAATGGTTTCTTTGGCATTGCACTTGGCAGTCCTTGAAAGTTCTACTTAAAACTTAAAATCGATTCAAGTAATGTGAGGATTCAGAACCTGGGACCCGGACAGGAGGTTATAGGTTTCTAGAAGTTCATGTACTAATTCTTCTATTCGGCAAGCTGGCGCTGCAGAGGGAAGAGCCACGTGGCATGAGAGAATGGGATATATTCTGGTGCCACTGACCGGTGTGTGAGCAAATCACTTAACTGCTCTGTGGGTCATTCTGCACACTCTCTACCGTCAACACGGCTAGGATCAGCGAGCTCACAGCTGACACAACTGGGCACTCATTGCGTGCTGCGTGTGCAACAGAAGCCCGGGAGTCCACCTGCCTAGTTTACGGTCCCCACTCTACCACTTGCCAGTTGGGTGCCCATAGGCAAAGTAATAGTTCTAAGCCTCGGTTTCTTGATATGTACAATGGCACTAATATGATTGAATTATTATAATTCACTTATTACTGAAATTACTAAATTCTTTATGTAATTATTAAAACACACATGGTCCAGTGTCATGCACACAGTAAGTCCTCCAGCAGTTCCCACCCCTCATTTGCCAAAACTGCTTGAGTGGCGGGGTTGGGGGGGGAGTGCAGACAGAGGCAGGAGGAGGAGGGGAAGGAGGGAGGGAAAGATGGAGAGAAATGAGGAAGACCTCCCTTTGCATTACCAATCTTCACAACCCATTTGGGCAGTCGTCAGGGGTTTCTTTATTTCCAGCAACTTCCATCTCTGTATTTCAGAGGATCTTCCTCTGTGTGGCTGGCAAACCACTAATTTTCAAATCCCAGTTTCTTCAAATGTTACTTGCTTGCCCTTAATATTATTCAAATAATCCCACGGCAGAAAAAAAAATCTCCCAACAGCTTTGCTTAAGGTTTACAGCAAGAGATATAAGAAAGCCACCCATTCCTTTTTATTAATGTGTCAAAATATTATAATAATTTACCATTAATTGTTCTAATATGCTAAAATCCCGGGAAACAGTCTTTGCTACGTCAGGGTTTAAACAAAAAGCCTCATTCTAGCCTGGGAGGTGTTGCTGCAATCTTCCCAGCAGAGACCCTGATAACAAAAAAATTACCAGGTAAGATGCATGAAGCAGCTTACAGACTCCAAACTGCCTCTCGTGGCAGCCTGTCAGTGTGACTTTTATTTGGCTATCTCTGCTTAGTGACACTAAACCAGGCATGTACCAGCCAAGCAAAGCATCCCTGGGGTCTTGGCAGTATTAGAATGAAGAAGGGAAATGCTCTCCTGTCTGTGTTCCTCCTACTCACTACTGCAGGCTCCCTGGGAGGGGAGGTTAATTTCTGCCACAGAGGATTCTGCCCTTGGGGCTGGTGAATTTCACTAACTGACCTCAATGCAGCCATCCGGGGATGAGGATAAGGGGCTTGCAGGAAACTGCTGGCAGGTCAGCTCTGCAGGGCAGAAAGAAGTCTGGCAGACCCACAGCGTCTGATGAAGATCAGAGCTCTGGACCAGGTCAAGTCAGTCTGAGGCCAGTCAGCCCTTGATTCTTCTGGACACAGGGTGAGCCCCACTGGGAGATGGGGAAGGGAGGCCAGCACCACCATTCTTCCCACCCTGGGAGAGGAGGACAGTCCATCCACATTGGTACTCTCCCCCAAATAACTAGAGCACGCAGCAGAATCCCTGTCACATCTGTCTCTCTAGAGCAGAACACGCAGAACCTTTGCTGGATGACTCAAGACCACTGACATGGACATTATTTGTTCTACAATGCCCTCGAGGGGCTATCGAGGCATGTGGCTACTTGAACACGAAACGGCTCCATCAGGCTGACATTTTAAAATCAGTGTGACTTATTAAAAAAAAAGTATCATTTATTCTTATATCAAAACAAGTATTAAATATTGAGTATTATAACGCTTCCAGTCAAAGAGCAATGCTTATAGCTCTTACTACTGCAAGAGCATTCAACTTGCCAGGATGTTCCTCCACAGGTTTCTCCTCCTGTGGCCCCAAATATGCTTCCACACTGTCTCTTGATTTATCAACTTTAGATGTTATCCACTGAATTTCTGCAATGGTATGGACTCTTCCATACAACTTTGGTAAAATCAATATTCAGAATCTACATTACTATGATTATGTGTATACCATCCACACCTTTAACTGTATATCCTTCCCTTTTTTTGTACATTTATTTTTTCTTTTCCTGGAGCCCATAAATGCTTTATTTTTTAAAAGTGCTTTATTTTCTAAATTTTCTTTTTTTTCTTCCTACTGTTTAATCCTTTTTCTTTAGTTTCTAATTTTGGGGTCATACTTTAAGTTCCAATTATTCTGTTAATTTTTTTTACGCTTAACTATCATACTCTTAGTTTTTAAGAGCATTTTCTTATTCTCTGACCCTTCCTTTTTATGCCATCCCTTCCTTGTTTGATGGATGTGCTCTTCTGTCTTCCATGAGAATAAAAAAGCTGATTGGAAGTGCTGTGTTTCTAGATGGGTGAACCCTGCCACAGGGCACAGTAGTGGGGGTTTGGCTAATTCACTGGAGAGTGTCCAGATGTCAGTATCAGTGGGCAGTCAGTACCTGTGGGCTAATCTCATCAAAAAAGAAATCTGTAACTCCTGCCAGGAAAGTGGTGGGTGTAACTTTTGATATAGGAGAGCTGAGTGTCAGAGGGGAAGGCGGCTGGGCATTTTGCTGCTCAGGGACAGACTTTCAGTTAAACCCATTTACATACCTTATCCCTGACCTCATCTGTGCCTAATGTCCAGAGGCCAGAGGTCCTCTGGCCAAACTTTCTTTCTCTTCTCTTTTCCTTTAAAGATTTTATGTATTTATTTGAGAGAGCGAGCAAGAGCGAGCATGAGCAGAGGGGAGAGGCAGAGGGAGAGGAAGGAGCAGGCTCCCTCCTTAGCAGGGAGCCTGATGTA